GCCCAGCTCTCCCCGCCCAAACTCGTCCCCTGGCAGAGCCCCGGTGCACGTCTCATGCGCCTTTTGCTTTGCCCAGCACCGTGGAAGTGCTGCTGCTACGGCATCTCCCTCCCTCAGCTCCGGCCAGTGAACGCTCTGCCTTAGATCCCTGCCCCCATCTGCAGGCCCGTCTCTGCTTTCCTTCCCCCACTGCTCCCCTGTGCTCCTCTCAACACAGACCGTTCCGCGGGCCTCCAGCCAACCACCCTGGATGACAAAATGGGTGCAGGAGGGGATGGGGGTGAGCTCTGGGTGCAGGAAGGGCTGAGGGTGGAGGGCTGGGTGCAGGAAGGGCTGGGGGTGAGGGCTGGGTGCAGGAAGGGCTGAGGGGGGAGGGCTGGGTGCAGGAAGGGCTGAGGGGGGAGGGCTGGGTGCAGGAAGGGCTGAGGGGGGAGGGCTGGGTGCAGGAAGGGCTGAGGGGGGAGGGCTGGGTGCAGGAAGGGCTGAGGGGGGAGGGCTGGGTGCAGGAAGGGCTGAGGGGGGAGGGCTGGGTGCAGGAAGGGCTGAGGGGGGAGGGCTGGGTGCAGGAAGGGCTGAGGGGGGAGGGCTGGGTGCAGGAAGGGCTGAGGGGGGAGGGCTGGGTGCAGGAAGGGCTGAGGGGGGAGGGCTGGGTGCAGGAAGGGCTGAGGGGGGAGGGCTGGGTGCAGGAAGGGCTGAGGGGGGAGGGCTGGGTGCAGGAAGGGATGGGGGTGAGCTCTGGGTGCAGGAGCGGGCTGAGGGTGGAGGTCTGGGTGCAGAAGGGGATGGGGGTGAACTCTGGGTGCAGGAGGGGATGGGGGGAGGGCTGGGTGCAGGAGGGGATAGGGGTGAACTCTGGGTGCAGGAGGGGATAGGGGTGAACTCTGGGTGCAGGAGGGGATAGGGGTGAACTCTGGGTGCAGGAAGGGCTGGGGGTGAGGGCTGGGTGCAGGAGGGGATGGGGGTGGAGATCTGGGTGGGATCAGCGTGTGTGATGGAGTTGGGGGTCTGCACCTGAGCGAGATGGGAGGTGTTTACCTGATGCGGCGCCCCCCCATCACTCCCATTGGTGGGATTCCGGCCAATGGGAGCAACGGGGAAAGCCTGCAGGTGAGCCGTTTCCAGGTGCTGCCATTCCCCCAGCCAGGGGCAGGAGGAGCAGCAGCGCACGGAGCCGCTCCCTCCCCCTGGGAGCAGGCTCTGGCCCGCAGGCTCAGGGCTCCCCCCTGCAGAGGGAGGCTGGTGCTCCAACCTCGCAGGGTAGTGCGGTCCTGGAGCGCCAGCACGGGCTCCCGCTGCAGGATGGTCGCGGGCCACTAGCGGCCTATGGCCCACGCCGCTGCTCTAGCTTTACGCTTCCTTCCGCTCCCAGTTATTGCCCGGCCTTGCACGTCCCTTCCTTACACCCCACCCCAAAAGCCATTGCTTCCGAGCAGGAGGAGTTCAAAGCTGGCTTGGGCACTCTGTGTGTGCTGCCGTCACCACGCTGGTTGCAGTATGGACAGACCCCCAGCCCGGCAATGCTCGGGGGGCAGAGAACGTGAACAGGAGCTTGGGGCTAGATCCTAACCAGTGCAAATGGGTCTCCCTCCATTGACTTCAATGTGGTTCCACTGAGTTACCCCGGCTGGGGAGCTGTTGGTCAGGTCCCAGGGACATTATGGGGCTGGAAACGTGAGTTCACATACAATAATATCGTCACCTCGGCCATCACATCAACCCTGCTTTGCTGGGAGAAGAGAACGCAGCTGCTCAGACCTATTTTAGCCACGTTGCTTCACGTCCTTACCTGTGCGCTGAGCATTCTCCCGTGCTCCCCCCGCCCCCGGCTTTGTGATCTGTGTGCATGCTTGGCAGGCAGCTGGCTGATTTGTTCTGTGTTTCGACTCCCTCCCTCTGTCTGTCTCTGGCGCTCTCGCGCACCGAATCCCAGCTGACCACTTTGTGTGTAATAGTCCTCAGAGGGGAATTAGAGGGGAGTATTAAATGTGCGGTTAAATAAATTGCATTACCTAGCGTGCCTGCAAGAGAGAGGTTTCTCTTTAATCAGCAAATCCACCAGAGCGAGGCGCTTCGCTTGCCAAGCGGTGCGTTTCCATTCCGAGGGGCAAGGGCTGCAGGAGAAGGGCAGAGGCAGCCTTTTCACACACCCCTTCCTCTATCCACCAACCCCCCACGTCGTGTGTGGCTCATGGATGGTTTGGTTATTTCTGTCTCCTGATGTCTGAATGCCCCGACCGGGCTAGCCCTGGGCTGCTTAGTGTCTAGCAAAGACAAGGACATTCACATTTCATGATTGTTCTGCTGCTGTCAAATAACGTTTGTATCATGTGTCCTGTATCCTACAGGTCTATGCAATATTAGTTAGTCACCCACCTGCTCCAAATGATCACCTAACACCAACACCCGTCTCATACACAGCTGGCTTCTACAGGATTCCTGTCATTGGTCTGACAACACGCATGTCTATATATTCCGATAAGGTAACTGATGCATGCTTCCTAGTCCGTATCAATAACGTTTGTATCATGTGTCCTGTATCCTACAGGTCTATGCAATATTAGTTAGTCACCCACCTGCTCCAAATGATCACCTAACACCAACACCCGTCTCATACACAGCTGGCTTCTACAGGATTCCTGTCATTGGTCTGACAACACGCATGTCTATATATTCCGATAAGGTAACTGATGCATGCTTCCTAGTCCGTATCTCATCCTCCAGAGCACCTCTCTCCATCTCTCTCTCTCTCTCTCCTCACATGCCACCGCCCCCTCTCTCTCTGTCCTCTCCAGAATGATCGGATGCCTCTCGCTTTTTCTCTCCTCTGGCTCTCTCTCAATACCTTCGCTTTCCTGTCTCACAATGGTGACCTACATATGGCTGGATCAGTTCGGCAGCGTGTCTGGCTCTGGCTGCCGGCTTCACAGTTCTGTGGCCAAATCAAATTCATGGGCTAACCCCTGAGCTGCTGACTAGTGACAGCCGCTACCTCCCGGGTGGTCCCTGGATGCTGGAGGAACGGCAGAGATGGAGGAGGAGACTCATCCTGCCTCTTTTGGTCTTCAAGGCTGTTTGGTGTTGTTCAGTCTGGGTGTGACTGGAAGTTACCACCGCTAAGGTGAAGTTTTCCTTGGGTTTGAGAGAACACCCGGCCTGCCAAGAAATACCAAGTCCAGTTGCAAACTGAGCTCCCCATCCCTGGGAGACTTTGGGGTGGTCACTTTGGGGTGAGGCGGCCAGGCTAGGAAGAGGTGCCATTCATATCTGACACCCCCCCTATTTTGAGGGTCTCTGTTGCCTTCTTGCCTAGGGTTTGTGCTGGCTTCCTGCAGAGAGGTGAGTTGGATACCTGTGGCCATGTGCCAGGACAAGCGGGGAGTACAGGGGGGGGCTCCTTCGTGAGTCACTTCTCACTTCAGAGCTGCCCTCACCCAGGGTACATCTAAACTACATGGCTCCGTCGATGGAGCCATGTAGATTAGGCTGATCAGCAAAGGGAAATGAAGCTGCGATTTAAATAATCGCGGCTTCATTTAAATTTAAATGGCTGCCGCGCTGAGCAGACAAACAGCTGATCAGCGTGCTAATCTGGATGCTCCCCTGCCGACATGAAAGCCCTTTATCGACCTCCCCGGTAAACCTCATCCTACGAGGCATAACGGGGAGGTCGATGAAGGGCTTTCAGGTCGGCGCTGGAGTGTCCAGACTAGCGCACTGAGCCAACAAACAGCTGATCACCTGTTTGTCGGCTCAGCGCGGCAGACATTTAAATTTAAATGAAGCCGCAATTATTTAAATCGCGGCTTCATTTCCCTTTGCCGATCAGCCTAATCTACATGGCACCATAAATGGAGCCATGTACTTTAGACACACCAGAGGGAAGGAATGGGTTCAAACTTGAAAGAAGCCTTTGCAAGAGCAATGAAGGCGTGGTGCTGATCATGCACCTCTATGTCCTTTTGTGACAGCAAAGAAGTACCGCAGAGTCCTTGCAGGTGACGGCTAGCTTAGGGCTGTTGGTGGCTATTAGCCAAGGTGGCCAGGGATGCAACCCCATTCTCCGGCTGTCCCTCACCTCCGTTTGCCAGAAGCTGGGAATGGGCAACCGGGGACGATTGCTGGTGGTGTTCACTCCCACCGAAGCACCTGGCACTGAGGGCAGGCTGGATACTGGCCGAGATGGAATTACGACCGGTGTCCACAAAACCAATACAAGTTCCTAACCCTAACCCTAACCCAGGCTAACGCTTCCCAGAGATCTGCCCTCAGTCTCATGGGACCCTGAGAGGTTCCGACTTTCCAATCCTTCCTCAAGGACAGGACAGGAGGCTCTGGCTGTTTCCTGGATCTGAAGAAAGGCTCTGTGCCCGCTTGAGCTCCAGCTTCCAGACTATTGAAATCCAGTCGTCCCTCCTTTGTCTGTCGGCTACTGGAGAGCCCAGCATTTTGGAAATGTTGAGAAACCTTGACCTACTAAGGCCCTATAAGACTGATCGGTGCCACCAGTAAGCAGGTCGCCACATTAGTCTGTATCTGCAAAACCAGCAAGGCCTCCCGAGGCACATTAGAGACTCACAGGTTTATTTGGGCATCAGCTTGCGTGGGCAGAATCCCACTTCATCGCTGGTAAGCTTTTTCTCATGTGTGTGTAGGTTCTTGTACTGGTTTTCTTGGGTGTTCTTTGTGATGCTGTTACCTTAAGAATAAATGTGCTTGCTTAGAAGAAGCAGTCGTCTCTCATGCTTTTCAATCAGAAACACGGTCAACAATATTATTGACAATGAATACCAAGGTCAGCTCTGCTTCTTCTAGGCCACACATTCAACCACCCCATGCACAGGTCTAGCCCCAGAACACAAGAGTGTCCGACATTGGCGCGAGTGTCTGCCGCTCCACCCAAAAGGGGAATTCCAGACTGCAGAGGCCAACTAAAGATTTGAGAGCCAAAAGCCTCTTGCTACGAGTCACAGAAATGCCTGCGCGGCGAGACTTCCGGGCCCGGCCCTGAACTTGTGGAGCTGAGTGGTCCGTGAGCCCTCGGTGGGCAAGCATGAGCTGCAAAAGTCTATGTCTAGCCTTTGTTGTTCCTTACAGAGCATCCACCTCTCCTTCCTGCGCACTGTCCCGCCCTACTCTCACCAGTCCAATGCCTGGTTTGAGATGATGCGTGTATACAACTGGAATCACATCATCCTCATCGTCAGCGACGACCACGAAGGTCGCGCCGCCCAGAAGAAGCTGGAGACGCTCCTGGAAGAGAGAGAATCCAAGGTCAGTATCGAACCATTGTCGTGTCGTTTTGTTAAAGAGCAACAACAAAACTAGGAGTCTCAGGCTGTTGTTTGTATGTAGATTCCTGTATGTAAAACACCTTTTTCTTTCCATTGTAACATGGCTAACATTATGCTTAAAGCATCAACAGTGTCTGACTAGTACCTGACAGAACTTTGTACTTTATTCATTTCACTTGCTTTGCCATGGTCAAAATCTCCTACGTGTAAATCGACTACCAAACGAAGGGCAGAATAACCTGGAGCTCTGCAAATACCTCGCCCGGGCAAGGCCCACCCAGGGAGGGAACCAATCGCGCAGCTTAAGGAAACGCCCACCCCCATTTGCACTTCCTAAGGGTACAGTGCAGGCTTGGCAGAGCCAATTAGGAAACAGAGTCCGAAGAGCAGCTTGATTGGCCAACTGGCACTTGCTTAGGGGATTAGGCGATAAGGGGAGTCGGTGTGCAGCTGTACAATGGTACAGAGCCTTCTCCCTCCCTAGAGGTGTGTAAGTCCCTTCTGGACCAAGCCCTGGCTGGGATGATGGAGTTGGGGTTGGTCCTGCTTTGGGCAGAGGGCTGGACTCGATGACCTCCTGAGGTCTCTTCCAACCCGAGGATCTGGCAATTCTACGATAACGTGTCCCCTCCACACAGCTCTCAGCTCTTCAGCTGTCGTTATATGCCCAGGCCCATCCCCACTGACGCACACGCTAAACATGCTTCCCTGACATGCACTGCACCCAGTTTCCGTGTCAAACAAAGGGGCGCATCACCAAGTCCAGCCTAGTCGAGGTTCTCCAGGTGCGCCGGGGGCTCATCTGGTTCATCAGGGGGCCAGGGGAGCCGGAGCTGCATTGCTAAACGGGAGCAGGTACAGATAAGACGGGAAGCCCCAGGGCTGCAGTCCTACTCGGAGACGTTTCCGAGGGAAAGCCTTCTTCACGACTGGCCTGTGGGAGCGACCATTCCCACCCACCGGCAGGGATAGGCTCAAGCCGATCTCAGGTAGGACACGGCCAAGTCTCTCACCGCTACATTCCTGCCTGCCCGGCAGCCCCGGTGAGGGATTCCGCTCCTCGCCTGTGCCTGGCGACGCCTGTAATTCGTTAGTGTCCGGGTATAACAGCAGCGGCTGGGCCCCCCGCCAGTTTTGGCCGAGCGGGCGGTGGATTGGCAGACACAGCTGTGGCTTGTGGTGGCTGCTTAGAATCAGAGAGACCTTGGTGTTGGGAGGCGCCTCTTCTAGCTCATGCCCATTTCTGCAATGGCCCTGCACCAAATGAGCCATCCCTGGGTGCATCCTGTCAGCATGGGCTATCCGCACTGATGGGTCCCCTTGCAGCTTCTTCCATAGCCCAGAGGGTCCTCAGAGTCCAACATTCCCCCCAAAGAGGAAGCCTGTGGGTTCCTTGCGGCAGCAGTTTCATAGACTCCTAGACTTGGAGGTCAGGACTACCCAGATCATCTAGTCTGGCCTCCTGCACTTCACAGGCGGCAGAACCTTCCCCACCTGCCCCTCAGACAGACCCTGACCTCTGCCCACGTGAGGGAAGTCCTCAAATCATGGGCTACAGATGCCACGTTACAGAGATGCCACCACTGACACTAGCTGAAACCTGCAAGTGACCCATGCTCCCTGCTGCAGAGGAAGGTGAAAATATCCCAGGGCCTCTGCCCATCTGCCACAGGGGAAAATTCCTTCCCGACCCCAAATATGGGGATCAGTTAGACCCTGAGCTCGTGGGCAAGACCCCCGCAGGCAGAAAGAAGCTCCGAACCCTCCTTGACTGGTGCTTCATCTACAGCTGCTGGGGATTTTGCACCAGCTCATTGACTCTTCCGCGTGGTGGCATTTTTGCTGAGACCTCCCGCATTGGGTCCAGCTCACCCGCCTCATTATGTTCCCGAGAGCTTTCAGGGTCAATGTCACCCTCGTTCTGAGCCAATGTGCTTGTGTCCCCAGCCTCAGACCTTCCGCCTACAACTTCCACGCTATCGTCTCTGCTCTGCTCCCGGCACTGTCCTTTGGCTCAAGCAAAGAGAACATCCCCCCGCTCATGGCCACATTCTGGTCCTTTGTCACCTCTTGCCCTCAAGGGGGTGCTGCCCCAGCTCTGTGTTATCCTCTTTGTCAGCTGATCTCTTGGAAAGGGGAACCACCACAACTTGGGGGGGGTCTCTCTTGTGGCCTGCACTGGGTTTGAGCTGAATACATGACACTCCCCTGTGTCTGCTGCGGCCTGCTTCAGACAGTGGGACCCGTCTCTTGGATGAGAGGCTGCCTTCTCCTTTGCCCCTTCTTTGACAACTCCCAGGCTGTCCTCCTCCCTTTCCCTTTTCTATGGACTAGGTTGCTCTAGTCTGCTCTGGACTAGTCAGAGTGCATGACGTTCTAGAGCAGGCTGATAGGTTCCGAGTCTAGAATGGACTCTTGTGACGATCTAGGCCAACCTGCATAATGTCGGTGATCGGTTGGGTTCTGCACTTCTCCCCCAGTCTCTCCTGGTTCTTTGCCCTTCTTATCAATGAGAGGTTGATCCCTGGGCTTTTGTCCAGTTCCTTTCATTTCCATGGCCTGCACCCTGCCTTGGTCCTGTCTCCAGCCATACAGACCGCACATGGACCTGGTGCAGAAAGGAGAAGCTGCTGCCCAACCATCAAGCATTGCTGCCATCCGTCTGAGCAGGCTGAGTATTCGTGGTGATTGATCATTGTAAAATTCATCTTAACGCCAACCCCGCATTCCCTTGCACTTGGGGACTGAAACCTCTGGTGGCAGCAATAGGATTTCCGGTCATGTCACCTGAGAGCCTCAGATTGTCCAGTCAGGCTCTGAGCGTTACCCTGTGATGGTGCATCGGGGACCCCCGACCGTGCACCCCCGTAGCAGCACGATGAGTCTCTGCCAGCCAGTAGAATAGAGGGAGTTTATTGCTTCTCCAGGATACAGCACAGCACAGATGCGATGTGGTTACAGGAGTCAGGGCCAGGCCGCCTCAGGCCCCTTGGGGTAGGGGTCCACCGCCCCCCTCTACCTCCAGTACTCAGCTTAGTCTCTTCTCTCCATGTTTTTCCAGACTGTCCATCTCCCAAGCCCTGCTCCCCACCCAGGTGGCCACCTCCACCTCCCTTCCTTTGTCTCTCCTTCAGGGAAGAGCCTTGTTATCTGCTCAGGCTGGGACTAGGTGTCTGGGCCAATCCACGTGTGGGTGAGTCAGTGGGAATCCCATGTCACAGCGCAGGGGGACCGGGTTACAGAGCAAACAGCCCCCCCCACTGCGTCACACCCCCAAACACTGTTTTGGTGCCTGAATAATTTAAACATGGGCATTTCTGCCTGGCATTCCTATCCAGCGCGGACTTCTCTGGGACCAGCCGAATTTCAGGTTTGGTTCAAGTCCATCTCCAAGGACTATCAGCCTGATCGAGCTGGTCTTGGTCACACGGAGGCGCTCTGCCGGCTGTGAGCAGTGCGATTGTTCAAGACTGCAATAAATTCCCCCCACAGACATTTGCCTTGGTAAGTGACTCTGTTCCGACTGTGCCCTGGGTCTGTTGTGCTGCCGTTCTGCGAGTGAGCCAGCAAACCAGCATGCTGGCAGGCGCCTCTGGGTAAACCATTGCTTCGAAGCAAATGCTGGAGAAAAGTTCTGGAAAGTGCATTTTTAATTTGTGATGGTGAGTCTTTGCTTCAAACGCCTGAGTCTAAAAGATACGCGTACCAAACAGGAGCCAGCTACTCAGAGAGACACTCATCCAATCAGGAGCCAGCGACTCAGAGAGACACTTGCCCAATCAGGAGCCAGCTGTAGAACCCTACAACCCATGCATCCCCTCCACACATTTTGAATCTCAAACCAGCGGCTGCACAGAAATGCTTTGATTAGTTAATGCAAGATGGTGGCTAAAGGATCCACATGGAACAATGCGAGGGGTTCTGCTGTGCTGTGGGGAGTCCAGCAGGGACGTAGAGCAGCTCACGGGATAAGGGATGTGTAAAGGAGTCTATCGGGGTGCCCCCGGACACCCCGCACTCTCCGCCTGAGTCTCATGTTCCCCTCGCCCAGAGGTTCACCATCTGGCATCCCCAGTCAACTATCTCCCTGGCCCAGGGTGCCCCTTTTTACACCAGGGGTCTCCGAGCTTCCCATAGCAGGGAGAGGGGGGTCCGGGCCCGCCCTCTCTCACGGACCCCAGCCCAGGGCCCTAAGGACTCGAAACGCTTATGGCGTCCGGTCCGGCTGGCGGGGGGTCTGCCCGAACGCCTGGCCTCCTTCCTCTCCCTGCTGTGCTGCCTCACCGATGCGGGGGCTTACCTCCGCGGTTTGGTGTCCTCCCCTCTCAGGCAGCCATGTCCGGCCTTTTTAAATCTCCGCGCCACTTGTGGCCGGGGGTGGGGGTGGCTCTGCCCCCTGTACGCGGGCCTACTTCCGGCAGGGCGGCGCACCCGCCCTCTGGTACCGCCCCTCGCGTGGCGTCAGGCGTGGCCTCAGCAGGTGTAGGCGTGTTGCCGCTTCCGCGGCCTGGGAACACCCGGCGCATCGCCGCTCGCCCCGCACTGGGGCCGCCCGGTTTGTCCTCGGCGCCTCCGGCTCCCACCTGCCCACCACCGCTCGCAGTGTGGCTGGTGTCGGGGCTTCTCGCTCCGACCCCTGGGGTGCCGCGAAGGCAACTTCCAGGGGGATCAGAGTGCGGGGTGCCTCTGCCCCGTCACAGGATGGAAATTAAGGCTGGGCAAGACGAGGGCTGTAGGTTTGGCATTTTGCATCAAAAATCAATGACTGGTCCCAGTAGATTTAGGACACGTCTGGGTTCCAAGGGAAATGGTGACTCATATCACGGGAATGTCATTTCCAGAGGGAGGCCAGGTCCTGCCCCTGGGGTGGGTTGCAGAGGGGCCCCATCCTGCACTCCCCTGAAGTGATGGTATCTGTTCCTTGGGGACACCCTCCTGCTATCCCCCCAGCAGGCATGCGTGAGAGCGTTCCGAAAAGGGCAACAGCAATAATGTGCTTGGGACGGCTGCCATAGGATGAGATAATAGAATTGGGACTTTTCAGCTTAGAAAAAAGGAGACTAAGGGGGGATAGGATAGAGGTCTGTAAAATCATGGCTGATGTGGAGAAGTAAATAAGGAAAAGTTATTTATGCTTTCCCATAACACAAGAACTAGGGGTCACCAAATGAAATGACTAGGCAGCAGGTTTAAAACAATCAAAAGGAAGTATTTCTTCATGCAGTGCACAGTCAACCTGTGGAACTCCTCGCCAGAGGATGTGGTGAAGGCCAGGACTTTAAGAGAGTTTAAAAGAAATTAGATAAATTGATGGAGGAAAGGTCCATCAATGGGTGTTAGCCAGAAGGGTAGGAATAGTATCCCAGAAGCTGGGAATGGGCGACAGGGGAGGGATCACAGGATGATTCCCTGTTCTGTTCACTCCCTCTGGGGCACCTGGTGCTGGCCACTGTGGGCAGACAGGACACTGGGCGAGGTGGATCTTTGGTCTGACCCAGTCTGGCCGTTGCCATGTTCTTATGTTCATGGCCCTCCCCCGCGATGCGCTGCTCTGCCTCCTTTCTGGCCCTGCTGAATCACCCGCCCCCGCCGGGATGGGCTGGTAAAGGAGCCGGGCCGTGATCTGGGTCACACCCACCACAGCGCGACAGCCCATGAAATCCCAGATTCAAAAACAAAAATCCCAGACGCCGAGCAACGTGCCGGACAAAGCAAGAACTCGCAGCGCCCATGAGGTTGTGCGCCCACGTCAAGCCTGCAGGCCTGGGACTGAGTCTTTAGGTCCCGTCTTATCTAGCACGAAAGGTCCAGATAGAACCACTCCCCTCTCTCCAGCCTTTGGTCCAGTCCACTTCCGGGACATCAGCACAAGGTCTCTCCACCTGGAAACCAGAAGGAAAAGGAAACCAGGGACCTGCTGCCTGAGCGAGGGGGCCACCCAGTCTGGGAGGGAGAGAACGGTTCACGTCTCCTGCCACCAGGCCCGGCTTTGCGCTGTGTGTCTCCTGGGGTGATGGTGAGAGGTGGCTAAGAGGCACCAGACAGTCCTACCTTGGCCATCGGGAGACGGAGCCTGCCATGAAGACAAAACTGGGCTCGGGGTGTGACGTAGTGGGGGTACCTGGCTGGTTTCTATGCTGCTGGCTCTGGGGTAACCCCCACTGGCTGCCCGGGGCACACTCCCCTATCTCAAGGGGGGCACTGAGGCCTCTTAACCCCAGTTCCTGTAACCAGATTACATCTGTGCTGCGCTGTGCTGGAGGAGCAATAAACCTCCCTCAATTCCGCTGGCTGGTGCAGTCTGTTTGTGCCATTTCGGGGTGCAGGAGACGGGGAACCCCCAACGCGCCGTCACACTGGTGTCAGAAGTGGGATACACTGCACCCCGTGGATGAAGCTCCCAGCGGCAAGCGACAAGGCGCCGTAGAAGCAAGAGCCCTGGAGCCAAGCGTGCTGGAAGCAGAGCGAAGCGGTTCCGGGGAATCGTGGGGCGCTGCAGCACTAGACTGGTGAGTCTGCACCAAGGGGACCAGCGGGCCGATGGCCTACGCCCGACTCTTGAAGGCAGAGCTGGTGGGGCTGTGCAGGAGACGGGGGACCCCCAACGCGCCGTCACACGGGGTACAGTCTGTTTTCTCAGATTCCTTTGTACCCCAGACACAGGCACGTTGTAACGTTCCAGATTCTTAGGGAAATCAACCCCCTGCCAGATTTATCTGGAGGTGGGTTCAAGGAGGAGAAAGACAGAGGAAGGGTCCCCCCCTTTCACCGTCCAGCACCCTGCGAGCATAGCGCAGGCAGGAGAACTAGCAACGACTCCTTAAGAGAAGCATCCACCAGAGCCCGGAGGGGGTGATCAAGGCTGCGTGCAGATCAAGCCCAGAGACGAACGCGACGGCGCTTGTCAGGGATGCCTTGGGGAGAAATGTGCCCCAGGGCCCCTTTCGAGTAGGCGCACGGCGGAGCCCCATCGGGGATTTCGTTCGACAAAACGTGGAACACAGGGTTGAACCCCCCGGCCTGAGCCGTTTGGAACTGGGGGGGGGGGGGCTGAACGCCGTCTCTGGCTTTTGTGCCCATCTGCCTGGATCCTGA